AAAATATAATATGTGAAAGCCACAGAAGGCATTGCTCTTCTTTATGGCTTACAGAGCTTGCTTGAGGCACTTTCGGTATCTCTCCTGCAATGCCAGCAAGTCCTAATCTAATATAAAACTCAGAACAATTGACAAGATGAAACAGCTCCAGAAACATAAGGAGGCCCTTGTGGTTGAAGTGTAAGACAGGCTTCAATGGCATAGTTCATACCCAGTGCCAAGGCTGAACACTGGATCCCATTGCATCATGGGGTGGTCTTTGAACAGAAATCTCAGGGAAGTGGAGCTCCTTCTCATTTGAGCAAATGCTATAGTTCTGTTCTTTGCCAAAATGTTTTGAGTTTACCTTATGGCGAAAGTAAAATTATTAAAATGTGCTGACATACTTTGAATATTTTATTAATATAAAATAGTTACTCTTTGGGTATTTAAAACCAAACCTATTTGAGAGAAGGCAGAAAGTCACTTCTAAGTATATTAACATACAAGCCAAAGGGCAGCTCCTTCCGATAGTGGGTCCTATCCATGGCCCCCAGTGTGTTAGAAAATGATGGCTATGAGGATGCTTTTATCTGAAAGAAGGAGCCCTGTAGGGATCTGAAACATCTTGGATCAAGGAGGATGCTCTTGAATTGAATGAAATTGAGTGGAATGATTGTCAAGAATCTACCAGGTACTTGCAGCATGTGAGTTGCAGAGGGAACAATGTGATGAACAAGGAAAGTCAGTGCCCTCTGGGGACTTGTGTTCAAATTGGGAGAGCATGTTTGTCCTACTATTAGGATATACTAGAATGCAGTGCTATTCTTTTCTAGCACAATATAACATTATCATACATTATACAGGAATGTACTCCCTTATCTAAGCCCCCAGAACCAAATGCTTTCAATCTGGGGGTTCGGGGATTTTAGAAATGCCCTATATGGTTCATATAATGAATACCACTACCACCTCACATTTGTACTCACATTTATTAGCATATACCTACATGTCTCTCTCTCTAAATAAATAAATAAATAGATATATATTTACATATAAATCTATCTATATATTTGCATATAATATTTTTTCGTTCCTGAGAAAGAGATAGAACGAGAATAAGTGAGATAAATACCTACAACAGGGACTCATGCCCTAATCTTGTCTCGAGCTTTCCCAGACAGCCAGGATCACGGGAACCACATCTCAACCTAAATATGGCTTCCAGCATTGCAGAGTGGCACACTACCATTGTGCCATCATGGGTAGGCCTCATGGATATTTTTGTGGTGAAGCTAAAGGCTCGCCATGCTAACTGGAATAAATAAAGTCTGCAAAGAGCCTCCTAACAATTTAAGTCAGATTTTACTTGCCATGTGTGTTTAACTTTAGGTTTTCAAAACTTTTTAGATTTCAGAAGTGTCGATAACTGCTCGGGAGGCTGTAGTAGAGTATGACACGGTGCAAAGTTACGTCGGAATATATACCATGGACATTCCATGAGGGCAGTGTTATTTCCCAGACGCCCCAAATAATGCTGGCAGGGAGTAGGTATTCAATAAATATTTGCTCACTAAATAAGAAAAATTACATGTCATTTTATTGTGTTTCTGGAACTCCATGCCAGGCATAGAGGAACTTCACACCAATATTGTTAGGTAGGCATTGTTATTTCTTGTTTTATTGTTGTTTTAGAGATGATGAAACTCAGAGTAGTTAGAGGTCCTGCCCAAGGTGACCTGGGCAGCAGCTGAGAAAGCTGTCATTCAAGTTAGGGGGTGGGGCGACAGCCCTCTTAGATGTCCAGCTGCCTGAGGTCCAAGTCCTCACTCTTCCACTCACTGATTGTGAATCTCAATAAATTGATGCAATAAATTGACATCTCTCCCCCTTCACTTCCTCATGTGAAATCTGGGGATAATAATACAATCTGCTCTACAGGGTTGTTCGAAGATGCACATAAAGTGCTTAGAAATTGTCGGGAACCAGCAGTTAGCGTAATGGCTATGTCGCTGGACTCCCACGTAGTCGACCGCGGTTCCTGTCCCAGACCCGGTGGCTTAAAACTCACGCCGGGTGCGTGTGCGTACGTGCCCAAGATCCCAAGAGGAGAATGGAGGAGAAGGGATTGCGGCGTGACCATCCCCCCTGGGGGGTGATTCCTCGCTTTCTGTCTCTATGTCTCTCTCTGTCTGTCTGGCGAGCGCACGCGCCCTACAGTGAAAAATCTCTCCAAAAAAAAAAAAGTGCTTAGAAATTGTGCCTGGAAACTACCGGGCCCTCAATGAATGTTAGCTACAATTAATGCTTCAGAGAGTCCTGGAAGTCTTGGGAGGATAGTGGTGTGGCAAGACCCTGTCAGGGGTCTTTGTCTTTCTTTCTTTCTCTTTCATCAAGAAACCTTAAAAAAAAAAAAATACTATTTGAATGGCCAGCATGTGGCATGTTGATGAGGCTCTGGATCCCAGATGGCCGACTCCATAGTTCAAGTCATGAATCTGGCAGCTTGAAAAACAGACTTGGTACGTGTGTGTGTGCCCAAAATCCCCAAAGAAGAGTGGAGGAGAGGGGATTGCTGCATGGCCATCCTCCCCGAAGGGTGCTTTCTCACTTTCACTCTCTTTCTGTCTCTCGGGTGAGTGTGTGTGCCCTATGGCAAAAATCTAAAAAACAAAAACAAGGAACCAGCAGGTGGCATAGCGGTTACATTGCTGGACTTCCACATGGCTGACTGTGGTTCAAGTCCCGGATCTGGTGGCTTCAAACACGCAAGGCACGTGTGCGTGCATGCCTAAGATCCCGAGAGGAGATTGGAAGAGAAGGAATTGTGGCATGGCCATGCCCCTGGGGGGTGATTTCTCACTTTCTGCCTCTCTTTTGCTCTGGCAAGTGCGAGCATCTTATAGCAAAAAATCTCTCTCTCTAAAAAAAAAAAAAAAAAAAAAAAAACTTATTTGAAAATATTTAAGGAATATAACCTGATACCAGAGGAGTTAATGTACCTACTTAATATTATTTTTTCCATATAGTATGTATTATTTTGTAAAATTTTACTGCTGATATATAAATAATAGCTTATTCACTCAAAATACATGATTTTAGTCTTTAATAAATACTACCACTTACCTTTTGCTTTATTGATTAAAAATAATTGAAACCGTAATTATTTTTTTCACAATATCTTGAATTCAATTTATGGAACAGAGGAAATGCCAAGGTGTACATGAAGCCCCTGGGAGGTGCATCATCCATTTCATTAATTCTCTGAAAAATAAATGATCTCACTTCCTTTATGACAGTAGTAATTAACACACACATTCATACCAGTTTGGTATGATGCTCTGTATTATTTATTACTCTGCATTTGTGGTTTAGTGGTCAACCTAATGGGCATCTTTGTTAGATGATTTTTGTAAGATGATAACTGAGGTTATTCTCATCTACTCATGTAATCATTTCTCACTCAGAGTCAAAATACGTTTTTTTTTTTTTTTTTGAGAGGTTTTTGCTATAGGGCACGTGCGCTCACCAGACAGACAGACAGAGAGAGACATAGAGACAGAAAGCGAGGAATCACCCCTCAGGGGAGATGGTCATGCCGCAATCCCTTCTCCTCCATTCTCCTCTCAGGATCTTGGGCACGCACACACATGCACCCAGCGTGAGTTTTAAGCCTCCGGGTCCAGGACATGAACCACGGTTGACTACACGGGAGTCCAGCGACATAGCCATTATGCTAACTGCTGGTTCCCCAAAATACGTTTTTTTTTTAAAGTTTATTTCTTGGAGGCCAGCAGGTGGTGTCATGGTGAGGGCACTGGACTTCCACATGGTTGACTGTGGTTCAAGTCCTGTTCCCCATAGCATGAAACTCACGTGTGCATACACGCCCAAAATTCTAAGAGGAGAATGGAGGAGAAGGGTCTGTGGCATGGCCATTCCCCATGACGGGTGATTTCTTACTTTCCCTCTGTCTCTGTCTCTCCAGTGAGCACAAGTGCCCTGTAGCAAAAAATCTCTCAAAAAAAATTATTTCTCTTTCTTCTGAGGGAGAGAAGAAGGAAGAGGGAAACAGGAACCCACAGAAGGGTCTTTATGTCAAGATCCACTCCCAGCCTTAGTTGGCTCCAGATCATGGGCATGTGCATGCCAGGCACATGTAGGGAGATCTTCCCACATGCATCAACCTTGCAGAGTGTTGTATTACCGCTACCATACTTTCTGAGTTCCATTAAGATGCAATTTATAGAACTAGCCCCATAACCCTGAAGGAGCTGGATCCCACATGGCTGACTGCAGTTCAAATCCAGTCCTGGAGGCTTTAAAAACATGCTGGGTATGTATGTGTGAGTGCCGCAAGTCCAGACAGGATGGAGAAATGGAGGAGAAGGATTGTTACATGGCCACATCTTTTTAAGAAGTTTTCTTTTTTCTTTCTTATTCTCTCTCTGTTTCTTTCTGGTGAATGCACATGCCCTGTAGCAATTAAAAAATACTCTTAAAAATTATGAAATGATATAGATTATGGGTGATCACAAATTTCAATACTGACTTTTAATTGACTTCCATTACATCGTGTTCTCTTTGGTAAATGCTCAATTATGAGAAAGTTCCATAAGATCTCAATTTCTTGTACAATGCTTAGCATATAGTAGTTGTTCGTGAAATGTTTGGGGAGTGGGTAGAAATGAGAATAAAACCTGGAGGCTTCCAATTCTTGTTCCTTCAGTCTCTTTTCACTGAAATATTTCCCCATCAGGGTCTCAGTCAGTCTTGAGTCTCCTGTGAAGATACTCATCCTGGGGCCACTCATCCTCCCTAAGCAGCCAGAGGAGTATGGTTTGCTTCACTTGGTCAATGCCAGATATAGATGGAGTTAGGAAGTGCTGGTTATGTGCCGGCCTTTTGGTACATTGGGCGGAGGGTTCATTTTTCTTATGTGGAGCTGCTTTTAGAGTCTCTAGCAGAGGCAGATCACGCCAGGCTCCAACGTGCTTGTGGGTTTTCTCGCTTTGCTGCCCATGAGTTATGCCCCCGCCTTCTCCCTAATCCCTGCAAACAGGCGGTGCACAAGGAGGCTGCCAGAATGCCAGGTGTGTCTGCAAAACGCAGACAACTTGCTGCTCTTGATCGAAGGTATGGATGAAGGACTTTGGGAAGGTCTGAAGCTACGGGGTTTTGGCTTTCTTGGTTACTTTTCCTCAAGATCTACTTTCAGAAATATGCTGTTATTTAATGGTCCATTTTCCCACCAGTATTTCTCCCTACTTCTCTGCATCCTTCTCTTCCTCCCTCCTTTTATTCTAAAGATTTTAGAAAGAAAATAAGATCTCTTTCTTGAGCTTTATTTTTGCTTACTAAAAACAGCTCATTTTTACTAAATTTGGTCCTTTATGGAAAACCTTTCCTCTATTCAGCTTTGGACACGTTCTCATGTGGACATTCTCTTGACTGTGTAATTTCCAACTTCTACAAACTCTCACAACCCCCTCTTTCCAATCCTGTTTCCAGCTTACCCCCCACTACCCTGATGCCAGTCTTTCCACCTTCCCAGACTGCTAACATTAACTTTACTTTCTCTTCGCTTTGTTTCTTTTCTTTTCTTTTCTTTTCTCCCTTTCCTTTGCTTTCCTTTGCTTTCCTTTCCTTTCCTTTCCCTTCCCTTCCCTTCCCTTCCCTTCCCTTCCCTTCCCTTCCCTTCCCTTCCCTTTCTTTTCCTTTTTCTCTTCTCTTCCTTCCTTTTCTTTCTCTTTTCCTCCCCTCCCCTCCTCTTCCCTTCCTCCCTTCCCACCTCTTCCTTTCCCTTCCTGTCTTCTTTCTAATTCTTTCTCACCTCCTCTTGACCTCACTTCACCCGCCTTTGATTCCATGGTCACTAGTTATAATGGCTCCCTTAGAGAAAAATCAAAGCTGTAAGAAGAAAACACCGAAGAGCTACGCACTGCTTGTCCCACTACCAGTGTGTTGCCATGACTCTGCCTTCCCTCTTTTATTTATTTATTTTTATTGACATATAATAATTGTACTTGTCATGGGGTACCTTGTGATTTTTCAGGACAAGACTATAATGTGTAATGATCAAAGAAGAGTAATTAGCACATTCATTACCTCATCCATTTGTCTTTACTTTGTCTTAGGAACATTCAAAATCCTCTTTTTTCGTTACTCTGAGATGTGTAGTAGATTGTCATTAACTAGAGTTACCTTACTGTACTTTATATAACAGGAGAACTTGTCCTTCTTATCCATCAGTAATTTTGTTTTCATTTAAAAAAAGGTAATCCGTTGGGACCAGCAGTTAGTGTAATGGCTATGTTGCTGGACTCCCATGTAGTAGACTGCGATTTGAGTCCCGGACCCGGTAGGCTTAAACTCACACCGGGCGCATGTGCATGCGTGCCCAAGATCCCAAGAGGAGAATGGAGGAGAAGGGATTGCGACGTGGCCATCCCCCCTGGGGGGTGATTTCTCTCTTTCTATCTGTCTTTCGGGGGAGCGCAGGTGTCCTATAGCAAAAACCTCTCCAAAAAAAAAAAAAAAGTAATCCTGGGGACCAGCTGTCAGTGTAATCATTATGTTGTTGAACTATGGTGTAGTCGACTGCAGTTTGAGTGCTGGAACCGGTGGCTTAAACTCACACCAGGCGTGTGTGCGTGCATGCCCAAGATCCCCAGAGGAGAATGGAGGAGAAGGGACTGCAGCGTGGCCATCCCTCCTGGGGATGATTTCTCACTTTCTGTCTCTGTCTTTCTGGTGAGCGCACGTGCCCAATAGCAAAAAACCCTGAAAAAAAAAAAAAAAGGGAATCCTGTCATTTGAGGTAACACGGGTGAGCCTGGAGGACATTATATTAAATGAAATAACCCAGGCCAGAAACAGAAATTCCCACTCATATGTGGAAGCTAAAAAGGATGGCCTCAGAGCAGTAAAAAGGAGGATTCCATTCTCCTTGAGGTGCTACTTCCCCTCACCACATCCCTGTCTCTGTTCACTGGACTCTTGCCTCCTCTCTGGTGAAGAACATAGTCTGGCTGTCAGCCTCTCTTCCCTGCCACAGCACAGTTCCTTCAGAACTGGATGGTTTCCACTGGCTTGTGAATAGGTCCTCTGAAAAAAGGAGCTCCCTTGGACATCTCCCCCTCCCCTCCCCCTTCTTAGCGCTCTTTCCCCTTTCCTTCCTACAGCAATGTCTTAGAAAGGGTAGTTCTTTCTCTTCCTGACTTCTATCTTTCCCCTTTATCTGCAGTTCATCAAATCAGGTGTTTACTCCAAATGCTGCAATGTTCTTATCAACCACACTGCTAAGTCCCATGGCCACTATTGGGTCTTATCCCACCTATCCCAGCACAGCTTCCTGTTTCTTCCCTAGATACTTTCTTCATGTGACTCCAGGCAGCTCTATCCTCTCTCTTTCTCCCTCTTCAGTGGTGGCTTCTCATGTCCCAGTTGTCACTGTGGCTGAGCCCCAGAGCTCAGAGTATGAGTCCCTGTTCTTTCTAGCTGTGCCTTCTCTGCAGGGAATTTTATCTAGTCTAAGGCTTTGAATCCATCTCCTTGCAAGCTTTGCCTATATCTGGTCTCCAGTGAAGACCTCACTTCTGAACTCCAGACCTGTGTGCCAGCTGTCTGCTCAGCAGCTCCACTTAGATGGCAGGTGGCCGTCCTACCTTTGGCATAACCAAAACTGAGCCCTGAGCTCTTCTATAAGCAAAGACGCTAACCCATCTCAATAAATGGACTCTTAGGCCAAAACTCAAGAGTCTTCAAGACCCGTCTTCAGTCCCCCCTCTAGCCCAATCCTCTATCAGTTCTATCTTCAAACTCTGTCTAGAATCTTCTTTGCTTATCTTCATAGCCACAAATGTGGTCTAAGCTTCCCTAACTTCTTGCCTAGATTCTGTAGTCACTCTGGCTAAAACCTTCCCTGAATGTATTCGGTCGCTGCAGTTCCCCCTCCTGGAATGTTCTCCTCCTCTTCTTCAGGTCTTTGTTCAAATACCACCCTATCTGGGAAGACTTCCCTCAGATTGCAGTCTTTCTGCCTACTTGACTTTTCTGTCCCTCTTCCCTGACTTACTTGGCTTTAAAGCATTTTTCATTCTCAGGTATACTACAGATTTCCTTTGTTGTTATTAATTATCTGTGTCCTCCTACAAAATGAAAGCTGCATCAATGGCAGAAATTTTTGCCCAGTGTTTCACTTAAAACATTTTATTGTAATAACTATTGGTTGAATAAATTAATGAAAGAATGAGTGTCTCAGGTTGAATCTGAGGCACAGCAAGGCCCAGGGCTGTGTGATAGAAGCATCCCGCTGAAAATGAAAATATGAGTGGCCCAGATAGTTCTATATGTGCAGGTACATTCCATCCAATAGACAAAACATTGAAGCACCATGCAGAATTGTCTATCCCTTCTCCTGAAATCTGATAAGACCACCTCATGGATGACTCTGAAATCCTTCCTAATCTCTTTTCACTCCCAGTTGATCTTGTATGCAATTGTAACTCCATCTCAGCGAAAGACGATGGATGACTCTGAAGTCCTTCCTAATCTCTTGTTTTCACTCCCAGTTGATCTTGTGTGCAATTGTAACTCCATCTCAGTGAAATACAGACTGATCTTGGTCTGGATGGTGGGTATACTGTGGAATGGAACTCTGTTCTGGGCAGAGGCCTTTGATCTCTTCAACATCAGTAGCCTCTTAACCCACCACCTTCTGATACAAGTCTTGCCTTTCTGCAAATCACTCTCCCCATGATTTCCAAGGTTATCTTCATAAAACACATGCTTTCATTATCAGTAGGTAAGCACTATTTTTAAGACCTCATGTGAGAATGCCATTCTAGTTCTGGATGACCCCACAATATCGGCTCTCAGCCCAAAGGAAGACTCTTGGCTGAAGTTACTAACCCTTGAAAATTGTTGCAGTGTTAACCTCCATGCAGACTCCCAGCATATAAACACTGGTTCTTCCTCTCTTTTGTTATTTACTGTTTCCCTGGTCACACTGTGGCTTAACAAGTGGTGACCTACATGCCCACAGGAGTCTTCCCTCTCCTTGGCCCCCTGATTTCAATGAAGACTGGGCCTTTTCTCCATATGACCATTGGAGCCTTATTTCACCCACAGTCTGGCAACACTACTTGGCAGCATCAATCCCTGAACCCTTGGTTCTTTAGGCTGAATTTACAGAGAACTAGGCCGTGGTGTAATTTTGGAGAACAGCTGAGTGGCTGTGTTCTTTTTTTTTTGGAGAGGTTTTTGCTATAGGGTGCATGCACTCGCCAGAGAGACAGAGAGAGACATAGAGACAGAAAGCAAGAAATCACCCCCCAGGGGGGATGGTCATGCCGCAATCCCTTCTCCTCTCGGGATCTTGGGCACCCACGCACACGCGCCTGGCGTGAGTTTTAAGCCACCGGGTCCAGGACGCAAACCGTGGTCGACTACGTGGGAGTCCAGCAACATAGCCATTACACTAACTGCTGGTTCCCAGTGGCTGTGTTCTTGACCCACTGCTAGAACTAATAACCTATGAGATCATTGGCTGTAAACCCAGTTTTCCAGAAGTTTATAAGATGATGAGTTATCTGTCTGGTGAAAGAAATGAGAGAGGATATATACCTGGAAGACTTCTTCATCTGTTCCCATGATATTGGCTTTCTCAGTAACTCTGGGCATCTAGGAGCAAGAATTATCTATTTACTTTGCTTCATTTACTGTCCGTATGACCAAAGGTCATTGAATTCTTCTCCATCTTGGATCCTTCCTGCAAACATTTTTATATCTCTGCATATTTTTTATAATATGTACTTTCTGTGAACTTATTGAAGACCCTGTGTATTGTACACAGTAATTTTTAAAGCTCAACATTTTTAATTGACGGATTAGCTCCTGGGTCTATAAGAGATGAGCAGATATCAGGCTGACCCTGTTGCACAGTGGTTAGGTGCTATGCACAGGAAACCAGATCCCATGTGGCCAAACAAGAGCTGAGTCCTGACCTCCTTGCCTTGATAAACACCCTTGGTGTGTGCGCATGTGTCCAGGATCCTGACAGGATGGAGAATGGTTGGAGGAAAAGGGAATTACAGCATGACTAGACCCAGTGGGTGTTCACTGTCTCGTCTGTG